TATATAGATCATATAAAACAACATGATTTTATACAGATCATATAAAACAATATGATTTTATGACAAATTGGACGAGTTGAAAAATAACAGCGAATAACAAAATTTACGATTTAATATTGATTCAAAATAAACAGGTATTGATAAGTTTGCACTGGTGTGCGCCCAGTTCGGTTCTTTGTCAATAATTTATTTCTATTAAAGCTATACACCATGCACGCAATTCAACTTTTCAATCAATAGATGAATCAATAGATGAAATTATTATGGTTAACCAGAACAACAATTAAGTCACGATAACGTCAAAATGACATTAAAATGAATCGGAAATGATTGAAAAATGACTTTTAATAATTATTCTGGAGTTATTTTGATATCATTTGATATTAAAATGACTTGTTATTCTGCTTAGGATGTTATAAATGTTACAATTGATTCTCTACTATTACAATGGACACCATTCTCTACGTTTAATAAAAACATAGAAACAAATAAAACCACAAAATATTCAATACATTTTATTGTGCTAAATACACATCGGGCATTTATCAATTAGAGATATATCTCTCTCTCTCTCTCTCATTTTTATATTTAGATTACAATAGTATATACAACAGTTTTAATGTGCACTAGTTCTGTCAATAAAAATTCTATAGGAAGATAACAATATACTATATATAATTTAAAGAGAACCATAACATTTCTACGTAAGCATTTTGTTTCTACAAACTTATTTTGTAGACTTTCAGGCGTTCCAGTTTTGCGTGTTTGTTCCCGGTTGTCTTTTCTCGACTGCATGTATCAGTGTTTTAGAACTCAATCAATCTGCTACGTACGTATTAAGATAATTATTTTGCCTAGAAATATTTAGAAATTTGCAACCAATGAAATTCAAAATTTGTCTTGATCTAATTTAATTCTTATTGTGCAATTATTTTCACAATAAGACGAATTATTTTCATTCAGTTGAAGCTAATAGCAGTAATAGTTTATTCTATATTTGTTTTCAATCTATAATCTACAAATATTTGTTTTCAATCTACAATTTTTAAAAATATAATCTTTCCATACAGATCTATTACAGCTTGCCCTCGCCTCGACATTTACGCCAAGAAACGACTTTGGCAGATTAATTACGACTGCATAAGCATATCAACAGAATTGCCGATGATGTCAACTGACGACAATGATGACACAATGAGAATGACGGACATGACAATCGAAGAAACATCTTTGGCAGAAAACAGACGGTCGACATTGAGCGAATCAACAATTGTGCAAACATCGGAAATGAATGTCACGGAAACAAGGCCAGAAGAAGCGGAGGATATTACAGAGATATCGGAAATTTTTGAAGAAACAATACCGATTAAATGACGATTGTGATTGTTGCAAAGAGAAAAATAACTGTGGAATAATGGAAGAAATAATTAATTAGATATAACGTAAGATATAACTAAAAATATTACAAAAGATGAATAAATTTATGAAAGTTACGAAAAGAGCGAGATAAACAAAGATAATAAACTAAATGAGTTTAACATACTTGGCCAAATTATTATACTACTAATAAGATTTTTCAGCAATTATTACACATTTTTTATATTTTATTTTTTGTCTAAATATAATTTTTTATTATATGAATATAATAAATAGATAAATACTAATAAGTAATACAAAAATTAAAAATAAATTTCATCATTATTATTAAATTATTCTTCAATAAAATAATTTATTAATTATTTTATCAAAACATACGAATTTTTATTATCAAGTGATAGATATTAAACAGAGTGACATTGAATGATATAAAAAAATGATGAAAGCTGCGTATAAATTTTTATTTGATATTCATAATTTATTGACTAATATTATATACTAATCGATTTTTATAATACACAAGTAAGTTATCGTTTCCTCTCAAACTTCCATCTATAAATAGGAGCGGCATCCTTCGAACCAGATTTCACTAGTTTCGGTTTCCTGACTTTCTTATCTTTCAGCGCTCTGCGTATCTCAAGTTTCTGTTGCACGACTGTAAGTTCACGTTCCCTGTCAATCCTCTTTTCAAGTTCTTTATAAGTCATGTGTTTTTTTTGCTCAAACTTAGCAATAGTTTTGTTATCCAATTCCGGTAGCTTCATATTTTTGATTGCACTTAAAGTAGGCCGATTTGTGCGTCTGGACAGAAGCGCTGGATGTGTATCTAATTTCTTGGCTAGGTCAAAATTCTTGATCTCAACGTCATCCAAGAAAAAGATATGCTGATTCTGTGTCTCGTTGGCTGCATCAATCATATGCAACTGACTTTGCAACTTGTCTATCTTTTTCGCCTCAATGTTTCTCTTGTATGCTACATATCTGAGATCTTGTGTCTCCATTAGCTTGATTTGTTCGGGTGTGTGCTGATCCTCCTTGTCCTTCTCTCGATGAACGCCATTCACCACTTTGGAATTAATCATATGAAAATGAAACTCATCTGGATTCTTATTCAGTGCACGCTTTCTTAGGAGTTTGATTGTCGCTCGCTTTTCCTGGAAGTCCCTGGCTCTGATAATGTAGTCTTTCTTTTTCTCTAACAGTCCCAGATGTTTGCGTGCCTCTGGTTGGTGACGTTCCCGGTGAGTCTTCTGACTCATCTTCGCAGCTTTCTTCCACGATGACATTTTAATTTGTTGCTCTCTGAAAAGCAAGATTATTGTAAGATTATTACAGATGTTCATTTGAAAATGAAATAAATGGATGAATATAAATATAGTTAATAGTAGATAGAACACTAATCACACAGATAATATCTATATTATGCAGCTTACTTTTTTGTA